AATTTTCAAATCCTATCTCGTAATAATAACCCAACTCAACTTAACAATAATATTTCAAAAATACTACTCAAAATAATAAAACAAACACGTGTTTTGGAAAATATTTAGATTATTTCAACCCTCAATATTTGTTAATTTAACTAAATACCCTCCGCAATAAAAGTTTATAAATTAACAAAAACACCCCACCCACCCAACTATTGCTAGCAGCCGGCCACCACCGTCAAATGGTGGCCGGAAGCTACAGGAATGGCGCACGATCGACTGGATTTAGTCGATAGTGCATCGATCTAGCCTTTTTCGGCTAGATCTAGCCTGATCTTTGGTCGTTTCTGACTATATCTATGATGGATCTTGTCGAAAATGGCCATATTGGTGCACGAACAGTCAGATCTAGTTAATCGTGTATCATTTCGGTAACTTTCGGTCATTGTCTGATGGTGGTCGACTGTCGATAATAGTTGAGTAGATGGGAGTATTTTTATTAATTTATAAATTTTTATTGAGAAAAGTAATTGTTAAATGTTTTGAGTTTAGTAGAATAAGATTAAATTTTAAGTTGAATAGGAAAATAATTATTTTATTGGATTAGATAAGATAGTAGGATAGGATAGTATTAGAATATTAAAACAAAGGAAGCCTTAGCTTTGGATATTTAGAATGGACCCATGAAATGAAAATGGTTGTTATGCAACAGACGCGCCAAACAAAGGAAGCCTCAGCTTTACCAGCTTCTTTATCGAGTCTTGTGAATCAATGTTTTTTAACTAGAGGTCATTTTTTAAATATATTTAATACTCAAAGTCCACCACCGCTTTGTATCGGCATTTTGCCTTTCTACAGTTTCCACATTATTGTCATTCTTGTTCTTTTTGTTAACTGTTGTTAATATTATCAATGAGTCTTTGTGAAGTCTATATTTATTAGCTAAAAAAAGAGTCATACCGCATTGATCTTGACTTCACCAGTTGGGGAGATGAATGATTTAGTCAAAAATAACCTTAAAGATGAGTGGCGTGAGTGAGTGGGCTTTTGGGGTGCTGGGAATTTGATTAACCATGTAACGTATAATTAAAATATTAGAAAAACTGAAAACTTGTGTAAACAGTATAGGTACCCGCAAGTCCATTAGTACACACATAGGGTAGGGTCTGAGTCCAAAATATTAGACCCATTTAGAACTAACCCGTTTTCTTGGGCCACCCACCCATTTTGGCAGGTCTATGTATAAGTGAATGTGAGAATGGTTCTTAGGGTGTGTTTCATTGTTTGGTTCAATGAATGTTGTATTACTGAGAGGGTGCATCTGGTTAGGGCTGTAGGAAGATAACACTGGTTATTAATCTTAGATTCTGAACATTCCTATGTTTGGTTTTGAAGTAATAAAAGATTTTGGAAAAATTATAAAGCCAATAGTGTTTACTGTTGGTAATATAGAGGGTAATCAAATTACCACCTCAAAGCTTATTATTCTTTTATTACAAGGGGAATCCATATTTTATACCAATTTTGCCCTTAAATAAAAATGATTTCGGACACATTGCCCTCAATAATCCATCGAATAACAATTTACCCAAATTGGACAAAATTACTACATTGACCTCATAAGTTAATTTTTTTGGATAGAAATGTCCTTCATTATTTATATGAATACCACCCAAAAACCTCAACCACTACAGACAACTACTGACCACCAATGCCGGCAGTCACCAGAATGACGCACAATTGGTTGGATTTGGCCAACCGTGCATCGATTTGGCCATTTTCAGCCAGATGGTAGTGAATCTAGCTTGATGAAGAGGCCATAAAAACAACATTTTGGTTGAAAGGAAACAATATGATATGGTAGAAGGAAGATAAAAATTGCAGACTCAAAAGTAGTAAATAGATTACAATTCCACATTCATCATCCTTTGTCTACAGAAACCTAGATGAGAAGGCTACTTGAACCAGGTGTTCACCTTCTACAAATGGTTTGGGCTCAATACCAAGAAAGAGGTGTAATGGATATGGTGGGAAAAATACATGGTTGTAGGTTCATTGATCTAATTTAGGAAAGAAGAGTAATTAAAAAGCATATGCATCAATCTACCAATTTGAGCTTCAAAATGAAGGTACATAAATACAAAATGAACAATGTAATAGAACCCTAATTTTAGTATCCAATACCTAATATTATTTTTGTCAATAAGTTCATGTCTAAGATGTCTTGTTTCTGATTGTAATTACAATTTCATCATGGGGTCATAGAGTTTTTTTTTTTTTTTTTTTTTTTTTTTTTTTTTTTTTTTTTTTTTTTTGAAGCACCACTAGTGAAATAACCATAATTGAATTACAATCAGATAAAAGTAAAGGACAATTTTCATCAATATTGCAAGCTATTCAAGAAATAGAAAATAACCTGATAAACAATGTCCTACTTCATCAAAAGTAGAAAGGAACTCTTCCAATGTCCCAAATGCCAAAGGCATACAAAATCGCATCAAAGCCCAAGGTTCATAAAGATTATTTTAGATAGGTGTGCCACTCATCAACAATCTTCTGGGTATGACAAATCGCTCTCTAAGGACTTTATATACAATCTGTTGTTGTTCAATCATTGAAGTACTTTATATACAACCTGTTGTTGTTCAATCATTGAAGTCTTTCATATGAGAAAATCGAGAAAAATGTCTCCATTAAAATATTAATTTTCACCTACTGAGATCTAGTCTTATTTTAGACAACTAGCAAAAATTTACTCAAAATTCATACTAGTAATCTTCCGATAAAGTTGAGAACACTAGAACGATGCAGCAGCTGAAGCCGATTGTATCATTTAACGAACCTTGTGGCTGATGTAGAAAAGTTCCATTACTTGGATTGCGGTAAAATTCCTATACCACGAAAATTATTAGTGTAACATCATATAACTTCATTAAAAATTCCCAACAGCTGACCAATAAAAAAGTGTGCATGTTTCTTCAAACTAAATTCAGGAAACAAGCATTATTTCTCAAGTTGTTCACATTTAAAAACAATGAAATGGTATTGTGATGCATGAAATTGCTCACTAACAGTGACTAAGTATTGGAGATGGTTTACTCATCATATTTTTCTTGAAATGAGTGACAGACATGGCCTCCAAGTATGTATCTACAACTAAGCTGGCATGAAGTGCTGTAAAACCAAAGTAAGGATAAGGAAGAAGGATTCCTACTAATTCAACGACATCACCTGGAGCTACTTGTGAACAAAAAAGCAGAGAGGTAAAAGCTAAGATGAAGAGTTACAACTCTGGTAGGGACAAAATGATGAACTATCTGAAAGAATGCAATTTTTTAAACAAAGTATTGTAAGAACTAGTTGCTAGTTGCAATTATTCACACCACTCAGCAATTACTTTAAACCCATGTAATGACATTCTCTTCCAGTTCTCTTTTAGCTAAGACAGATTTATAAGCGAAGGGGTGAATTAGTTTTGTAATGCCCTTTTTTCATCAAATTTGAGTTCACAACTTTATCAAAGTTTTTATAAGAATCAGACTACAATAAAATTGATTAGTAACAATTTGGTGGATATTAACATTGCCTACTGAGATTTAAGTGCTCTTCTCACACCCAAAATGAAATACATGATGTAGCTTCCAAAGTTTCTTGGAAATCAGACACAACTGCTAACCTTTCCTATAAGTTCCCCACTCAAATGACAAGCCATAGTTTGAGAGACATGACCTTTTGGAACATGTGCAACCAACTCTTTCTTAGCCAGAAACATCATCTAATATTACATAATCATGCTTGCTATTAGTCCATTCTAAGACTAAAACCAAACTAAATTGAAAACTTCCTGAAACTTTGATGCTCTGAGTTTACGAATCAACTTCCCATTTATTATATTGATCTAACAATGTCTGGACGGGCACTAAAACGTAGGCAGTTTCTTTCTATTTGACATATATTAAGTGAAAGACAAATAGGTGTAGAAGAACAGACAAACCATATCCAAGTTTTGTGAAATTAGGGGTCTTGTAATCAGTTACTTGGTAGATTTCAAAACGACAATCTTCACATGTATATATTGCAACCTACATAAGTGGCTTAACATTTTAACGGAGTTATAATGCTTGATACCCTTAAGAGCTGACCAATATGTGAAGCCTTGGCCTCCCTAATAGTAAATGATTGCCTCTTTGAAGGTTACCTTATATAAACTTCAAAGAATCAAGAATGGGAATTCATTTGCCCACCAAATGTATCAAATATTTCATGGTGAACCATCCCATATATTCTGATCTCAAGCATATAAGACATTCTTCAAGGATAATGCATTACAACTAATTAACACAAAAATCAATTCAACTACTGTATGTCGAAGTTATAACAAAATGTTTACTATTATACTATTATTCATGTAGAAATAAATAAAAAACAACTGAGTAATACTCAAATTTTATTAATTTGACACCTGAAAAAGGAAATAAAGAAGAAAGAATTAACATCAAATAATCAACGAAAGAGAGGTGAATACCTTTTATCTACGTCGAAGTGAAACAAAAAAGTAAGAGAGGAAAAGAAGAGAGCAGGGAGAGGAGGGAATTAATCGGTGTCAAATAATAGTATAGGAGAAAGAGTAGATAAACAAAACAAACTATCCACACCACCATTGAATCAATCTGTCATCATAAATAATAAAAATACCAACACAAAAATCTCTCCTAAGACCATAAACAACTTGTTATAAGGGTAACTAGTTTGATTTAGATTTGCATAAATTGTAAAAGGTGAGGGTATAACTAATTAGAAAATAAAATAAAAAATAAAAAATCAAGAAGTGATTCATAGGCAAAATACATCACACTAGTTAAGAAAAAAAAAAAAAAAAGATGGAAGACAAATCCGACTAGCAAAGTTAAGAAAATTTTAAACAAATAAGAATTCCCAATTTTTATGAAGAAATCAACATTAACCTTTCTATAAAGATGAAAGAAATTGCTGAAAATGGAACATGTATCAATTTATAAATTTCAACCAACATAACCAAACAAGAGTAGACTACCAATTAATTAAAAGCAAGAAAAGGGGAAACAAATCATTTCAATGGTTAATTTACTTGATTTAAGTTAGACAAACTAGGTGCCAACGACCAACTAGAATCAACATTCCAGGTCATGAAAGATATATATCACACCGAGGAGTTTATGCCTTGGATTATACATTTATACACAACAATCTTTTATTCAAATAATTCATAAGTGTTTGTGTGTGCCCTGGGAAGCAATTTAGATAGGAAAAAACAATATAGCAATTTAGACCGTAAAGCAATTTACATACTTCATATACAAGCATGTCCAATATTGCAACTAAAAGAGATATCAACTTTGGTTCAATTATCACACACCAAACAGGATAAAATCTTTTGAGCAAAAGATTTGAATGGTCTCTCTGTTGGTTGGTTTACTATATCTATATCAATAATCGTAGACTCGTCAACTCCTCTTTCCTTGGCTTTCTCACACTCATGGCAGAATATCTTAAATGCATCTTCAACATACTTGGCTCCTTCTGAAACTAGCATATTCTCCACTAGTTTGTGGGGATAAATATCCTTTCGATGATCACCATTTAACATTGCCGCCATCAGTACTAATTCTTTCTGGAAGTCAGTCAGTTTTGCATCTTCTTTTGCATCGCCTTCCCGCATTTTTGGAGGTTCAGGTAATGCAACTGTAATATATATAGAGTGAAGAATTAGTGAGCTCTAAAATAAGAAACTATCTTAAATTCTTTAAAAAAAATATACGTGATAAAGAAAAGCTTCGACGTATATTTACCAGGGCAATCTGTTCTTGGGGATTTTCTACTGAGAACACTTTCAAAAGTGCCAGCCCACTCATCACGCTTCGTCAAAAACTCTTTTAGATTGAAAATCTTTTTCACAGTTGCTGCAATTGAAGAGTGCTCAAACTCCGATGTAGGATATGGCCCCGAGGGCCTGTGCAACACTGTATTTTTATCAGAAAAAGGCTTTAATTACTTCTAAACAACTTGGATATTTTCCAAAACTGAAAATACTGACCTGTCCCACGCTCAATCCAAGGAGAAATGAAGATGGTTGGAATACGAACGCCGAGACGATCAAACTTAAAGTAATAAGGTTCAGGGCCAATTATATCATCTGGGGTAGGGACTCCAGTTAGAGGCGTTGGAACATGATCATAAAAACCACCATGTTCATCGTATGTTATGATGAACAACATTTCAGTCCATTGGGGACTATTTCTTAATGCCTCATAAACTTGTTTCACAAATTTCTGTCCTTCTGAAACGTCGTGAGATGGATGGTCGTCATTTGCAGGTATAGACAGCAAATCAAAATATCTTTGCTCAACAACCACATAGTTTGGTAGCTTCCCTTCTTTGCAGTGATTCTCGAAGTGTAAATCAAATTGGTGCAAGTTTTTCAAGTACTTTATTTTCCTCAGGTTTCTGGCATGGAAATTGACGACACTTTTTTTTTATTAGAATTCATCTATATGCCCTATGTTATTTCATTTCGTCACCTCTTTTTCTCAACTTCTTTAAATTCTTAGATTAAAATATATTACTTTTCTTTTTAAAGAATGTTCAATTTATTATGTATGTCTTTTTCTTTTTAAATAATAATAATAATAGTTATTTCTTTGAGAAAGTTGTTAGCTCTCCTTAAAAATCTCTTTCCAAACTCCAATGATAAAAACAATAAAAATAAAGAAAATTAGATGAACCTAGCCATGACAACAACTTAAATAGAAAAAGATAAAAAGGAACTATGTATTACCTGTAGAAAAGAGTGGCTGGAGGATATTGATAATAAATCCCAAAGCTAAACCCACTTTCATCCAATGATTCAAATATAGTCTTCTGGGGATAACCTTCAATCAACTTGTTTGTATCATTACTTGTAGCTCCATGAGATGTAGCTGAATGCACAAACAATCTATTCGGTTGAGTTGACGCCGGAACCGATGCAAACCATCTATCACAAACACCAAACTCCATCACTAACTCCTTATAAACTGGCAACATTTCTGGTTTAAATCCACTCATCACTGTCTCTGACATCCCCTTTTCTATGCTTTCCGCGTTCTGCGCAAACCCCTGCATTAAAGGACGGGATTGAGAAGAAGACTCGGATTGAGATGCAGTCCATGTGATTCCAAAAACTTGCTCGAAAATGGCTTGAATGGAGTGGCCAGGATCAGGATCAATGTAACCAGCTGTGTCAGTGAAGAATATACGGGATGAGTTTGGGTCAGATGTGGAAATGGGATTGGATTCAGAGCCTGTAACTCCGTTTATTTCAGGGTTTAAAGATTTCATCCATCCAAGCATGTGGTCGAATGAGCGGTTTTCTTGAACAAGAACAACTATGGTTTTGATGGGATAAGGAGAAGTTGAACTAGTGGTTTCTATTGCCATTTTTAATTAGAGGATGCAAAAGGAAAAACTGAGTTTATATAGTAGCATGAATATTATGATTCGTATGGGAATGGTTTAATGACGGCAGGTTTCCTTGCAAAAGAATATGTTTGGTTAGATGGAGGGCGTGTATTTCAAAAGGATTTAATAAATGTAAGTTATTTTATGGTTTATGGAGAAATCATGTTCTTCACTTCTTCTTATAATTGTTAAATGGAATAAGTTGTATATATGTTTGGATTGATAATGAACATAACCATGTGGATATATCATTCTTTAACATGATAATATTCTAACGAATAAAGCATATACCATGCGTGTGGGCGTGGAGCCTTTTTAAAATTGTTTCCAAGTAACAGTTTTCCCCAAGGAAGCTAACATCGCAAATGATTTAAAATAGCAACTGACTTTATTTTTAAATGGATATGGCAGTTTTTGTAATGAATGAGGAGATTTGATTTTCTTTTAAGAAATCAAATCCCATTTTTCTCAAATAATCTTTCAACAGCGGCATCGTTTCTTTTTACTTGTAACTTGTTACTTAAGCAGCAAAAATGATGATGGAGAAGTTTCACAATAGGGCTTTTTAATGTTGCAAGTGTACACCTACTAAATCACTAACTTTGTTAAGGATAGGAGAGGATAGGATTCTTAAATGAGTTGGATTCGATTCTATTCTCAACGTGTGAAACATAATTTGAGCATTTTAAGAGTCCATTTAATAAGTTCTTTCTTAAGCTTATTTCAAAAATACTCCTATTCTATTTTATTAATTTAAAGTTCTACACGAAAAATTCTATAAAAATAAAAAATAAAAAAGTGGTGGTGGTTGGCAAGAATATCTCATCATAGACTTTACTTAACCTTTGTTTATTTCTTTAATTAGCTGGGCCTGTCCACGTAAGTTTAGACAAAACTTTAAACAACATTCATAAACAAAAACAGCCAACTAATCATCTGTTTTAATATTTCATTAAAGAAACTTTCTTAATTGTAATCAATGAGGATCCACATGATATAACTGCATTATAGTTTAAGCAAACAGAAAATGTAATAATTAAGTTTATCTTACTTGTCAATTTGGTCAAATCCAAGATTTTGTGTGTCCTATATTCAAATACTTAAATCTAACGGCTAAGAAATTGTAACATAATTTAAGGAAAATTTGTATTATAATTTGTGTAAAAATTGAAAAAAGAAAAAAAAAAATTAATTCTAATTGGGGATAATATAATTCCCAGTTTTTGCATACCTTGTAAACACAAATCTCCCTGTTGAAACACATCTTTTCAATGAAATATGACTCCTAACAACTGTTGTACTATTCTTCTCTATGCTTCTTTCCATTTGAAACTCGTCATCATCTTCAGTACTGCGTAATATATCAGCAACCAAAATAGGGCCTCGAGAAACACAAGAATTCATTGAAACTGACCTTCTAATTGGCTGTATCCCATCTTCAATTACGTTTTCTCTTGAAATAACAGCTTCTTCTGGGTCATGGATCACTAAAACAGCCTCATCTCTCTGTTGGTATTGCAATTGATTCACAGAAACATTGATATCACCATCATTTACACGTGGAGACGTTTCTTGGGTGGGCAAAATATTAGTAGATGCAGTAATATTTGCACGACAGAGAGGACAACTTGAGTGAGACTTCAACCAAGTGTCAATACAGGGAAGATGAAAAGCATGATTACACTTTGGCAATAACCTTAAGCTCTCATCTTCTTGAAATTCACTTAAACAAACTGAACAATCTGTGCCTTCAACTAATCCCTCACCTCTCTTGTACTTACATACTGTAATGGACTTAATAAAACCCTCATCTAATCCTATATTAGCAGCTTGATGAGAAGTTTCATTATTGATCATATGATCATTCAATGCTGTGGCATTCCCGCCATGCCGTCGTCGCCGGAAGAACTTAGAAATTATGGCATAGTAACTTAGCAGGATAAAAGCACTCGCCAGAATGCCAATAAGTGCGATAATGACAGGAGAGAAATCAGTTCCGGAATCATCTTGAAGAGGAGGAGGAGGAGGAGGAGGAAAAATGATGTAGCACCATTGGGGACAATAAATGCTACAAATTCCTTGAGAGCAATCTTTATAGGAATCATTGGGAGCCCAAGGATTTGGAGAATTGTGATTAGAAACACTCATGTTCAATCTCAAATTCTTGTAAATCTTGAAATATATACTTTTTTTTTCTTTTCTCCAATATGAGCAAAGGGGTTGGAGAAAAAGAGAGGGCTTAGATGGGAAGAGAAGCAAAGTAGAGGAGAAAGGAAGTTGATGTGTCTCTCTCTTATCTTCTACTTAGTTCTTTTGTTGTTTTTGAGGATCATGGTTTCTTGACTTATTTGGTCATTATTTTTTATGATGAAAAGTGTTTTATTAGTTGTTGAAGTACCTTCCAAGTTCTAATTGCACTTGGTTGGTGAAATGTAGGTGAAGGGACTCTAGCATTTTCAAATTTCTAAGTAGAGATGGATATAAATACATTAACATGTTAACAAAAACATAATTTTGTTGGTTGGATTTAAGATTGTAAGGTAAGCTAACAAAAAAAGAAATGTATGTTCATGGCCCATTGCCGGGTTGAGTTTATAGTTGTTGCTCTCCTACTTCTACGCTAAAATCTCAATTTAGCTTTACTCTAGGTTTAGGGACCTAGTTGACTGAGAAAATACTCAAAACTTTTCCTTCCATAATTTGGCATCCAAAACACTAAATGATAATTCATTTATGAATAAGATAATTTCATAAAGTTTGTTGTGTAAAATTTGTTTATAAGATTTTGACTGTGGGGTAAGAGTGTCTTCTCAATATTTAAGGAATTTTTGTAACGGATTTAACAAAATGGGGGCTCGGGTTTAATTTTTCAAAACTAAGGGGTGCAAAGTGAAACTCGTGGTAACCATGGAGGCTTACAACATAACCCCTTAATAAGTTAATTTATAATAAATTATCTTGGAGCTAATATGAAGATTTATACAATTACTCATTATTCTAATAATAATTTATCAAGGTAATATTGGAATTTAACTAGTCAAATGGAAAACGATATGAACAAAACTAATACCAAAGGTGATTCATTTTAAAATCTGAGGTACATTTCCTTTCATAATACCTAGGAGGAGGCCAAAATGCTAATTCAATTTTTGCAAGATTATAAGAGGTTTGATATCAGTTTTTCATGTCACAAAATTATAAATATTATGAAATAAGGGTTTGATAATGTTTTTGAAAGAAAAATTTGGTATAACTTATTGTTACAATATGTACCAATTGTTATCTACATGTTACATATTCGTGTAAATCAATATTACAAACAAAATGAGAAATGAAAATGAATGCTTCCTATTACTAAATTCAACATAATATGCAATTCTTGTGTTTTTCATTTATTTTATAAGATGAATAAATAATGATTATATCTACTAAACCTGAAGAAACGGGGCGTATGCTACGCTCTTCCTTTTCTCTTGTTGTCCAACGCCTGCTCCAAAGATAAAATGTTCTAAATATAATCAAATAGGCTATCAAACTAAAACATGTTTAAGTTGAAACAACAAAAAACGTAAGAATCTATGTTCATGGCAAACAAATGAAATCGAAATCAGATATTTTCAAACAGATGAGTTTTATCTTGCTCAAACCCTAAACCTTGAAGCCTGAACCGTTCATCTTGCTCAATCCTTCAAACCTTGTATAAAAATAAGAGCATTGTTCTGCTGTGGGAAACGCCAAATAAATACTTAAAACTAATGGTGTTCAGAATATAGCATTGTATTATATCAAACAGTCGACCTTAGCCACATATTGGTCAGAATTTCCATGATAACAAATACAATTGTTTAAAAATAAGTACAATCTCTTACTCTAAAAGAGTCGTTATCTCAATGCCAAATTCAAGGAAATATGAAATAGGCATAGGCATAGGCATAATAGCCATCATGCTGAGCCAAACCAGACAATTTGCTCACGAGCAAACCAACCAATCCAGTTTAGAAATTGACAATGGCCAGGTTGGATAGCGTATGGAACAAGCGATTATGGAAGAGATACAACAACCCCAAACTCACCCTAAATTAGCTTGTACAACGTGTAAAATATTGGAATTATATCTACAACTCTTGACTATTTATAGTTGTATTCTAGTTTCTAAGAAATAATAAGAAAACCATAATAGTTTCCTCCATACAATAGCATACACAAGAGAAGAACAAAAGAAAAAGAAGACAAGAAGGGGATTTAGCAAGGGGAGAAAAAGAGAGATTCTAGAAAACTGAAAAAGATGTTCAAAATTTTTCTAAGCATATGATAAAGAGAAACAATACCTTGGCTTGGAACATCCTCATGGAAAGCACAAGAGAATCACGTATTCTACAAAAAAAACATATAAAATCAATCATCTTATTAAACATTAGACTAGAATACAAAAACTTCTACTTGCATCAGATAACAATTCTTTTCCAATTCTATTAACAGAGCAACTAAAACAAGGTTCAAAACAGATGAAATTCATTTTATAATATTATAGAGAGTGGAAAAGAAGACTAAGCTATATAAGCATACGCATTTACAAACAAAGAGAAGAAACATTTTTAAGGGTTTCAGCAATTGACAGTGTCCACATAACCGTGTTAAAGGTTTAACATTTGAAATCTTTCATAACAATCTCCTGTAAATAAAGAAAGAATGCAGTGTCCATACATATGCTACAATGAAGGACTGTTATCAAAACCTTACCCTCTTCAGCCCTAATGGAAGCAGAGTTGGAATTACAAAGATGCTTCAGCTAATTGAGATTCTTTTTATAGGTGTCTAAAAAAAATCATAAAACCACAAATATGGTTCCATTCACTTTGAGCATAAGTGTGAAGAGCACCCACAACGGTTATGTTGCAATGAAACATTTCACATAGTAAAATAAGTAGAGTTGATGAAGGGAGAAAAGAAGAGACAGATAGATAGTCAAGAATCAGATAGAGAAAAGAAACAGGGAAGAATAAGATAGGTTAAGAGGAGAAATCAAAGAAAAGATCGAAAGGAAACAACTGTCAACGATATTTAATTAATCAACTCTGACAATTCCCACAAATAGAAGATGTATTTATAAGCTTGACAAAATAAATACTAATGAAACATAAATTCTAATTCTAAAACTACTCCTATTCCTCCAACATCAATTCTCCTCCGTTGAAAAGAACTCGACTCTCAATGAGTTGGTTAGAGAAAAGGCTAAATCCAACGCATGCTTCCAATGAATAAGATTGTTGGAGTCCCATACCGATTAGACACGCTCCAACCTACTGGGTTATAAGAGGGGGTAATCCTCTCATTCAACAAAGTTTTATTGGGTGAAGAGTCAAGCCCACCTCAAATTCTATCATGGTATCAGAGCCCAGGTTCAGTTGAGCTGAGTGCTTGACCAGCGGGTGAAGAGTTAGAGTCGACAACTACTTATAATAACAGGCATGACCCAACATATGAGCTTGACCGAAGGAGAGTGTTGGAGTCTCACATCAACTAGACACGCTCGAGCCTACTGGATTATAAAAGGGGGTAATCCTCTCATTCAACAAGGTCTTATTGGGTAAGGAGTCAGACTCACCTCAAATTCTATCAAAGATAACACAATAGCTGATCTTGCATAAGCATAGGATAAAATCAGCCTACATAGCAACATGAAAATCATCTAGCTTAGGCAGAGAGAGCAATCTTGATGCAACGCTAACTCTTATAGGATCTATAACAACCAAGAATGAATCCACAAAATTGCTTTGATCTTGCACAATCTCAAGATTTTATTTTTTGTCCTCTTGCTTGGCTTCAATTTCATTATGGCCCACTTCATCTTCAACTTCAATGTCTATTTCATCAACAACCTCTTGTAACATTCGAACTTCAAACTTGAGTTCTAATAATTCAAAACAAATACTAATAAAACATGAATTCTAATCATTCTAATTCTAAAAATAATCCTATTCCTCCTACATCAAGAGTTCTCGTTAATAAAGACCAATTTGAATTGTACATAAATGATAAAATGCGGAAAGTTCTAGTTGTAAATAATGCATTTCTGCATAAAAGAAAATTTCAACTCCATATACAAGTTAATGGAAGTAAAGCACAAAGTATAAGACACAAGATTAATTTCCTAACATACATAATGTATGTTGACATCAAGGCCCATGTTTTTCCCAACTTATTAGCCCACTTGGGAAAACAAACAGGAAGGTATAACCAAAATAAATGAAGATTTCTTAAAGAACAAAAAATTAAAAGAGATCAAAATTCATTCCCTCCAAATTTCAACTTAAGAAAAGTAAAGCATTTACCGAACATTGTATGTGCTGAAAGGATGTGAAGAACCATCAGAGCATGTTAAAACAAATTGTGTTGAGAGTCCACAAGGTATCTTGATCTGCACACCAATAAGATAAAAATAATTGTCAGTGTCCGCCCTACAAATAATTGATGAACCTTTTGTTGTCGAACCAACAAATTTGTCCTTGACTAGTCCTAAAAGTTCCTGAAAATTATACATAAGCATTTTTTTATCCCAAGAAGATCTGGTCAGAAATCTAATGCTTAGGTGCTATCTTTTAACCATGTACATCTAAGATTCCTCACCAATGTAGCACTTTCTAGAAAACATCAAGGTAACAATATAGAGTATCTTGCATGTCAAAAAGAGGGATAAATGATATCAACACAGCACTTTTGCCTGTAATGGAAACTTTATTTACCAAAATACATATGGATAATTGTATTGGTTTGAAGTGCTTTTCGAGTCTGATATAAATGTTAATTTATGAGCGCATTAAATATATGATATCTTAGTCAAAATGTGTTCAAACATGTTGAATTAGTTTAATTGCCACATAATGCACACATTCGATATGAAAAAGGAAACATCTTTTTTTTCATGCTGGTGCATCAAATTTAAATAGCTTACCGATAAATCCTTCGAAAATTTCTCTTCAATAACCACAGCTTCTGTGGTATTTATCCTTACTTGGTAACTTGATCGTCCTAAGATTAGTATTGCTGGCTCCCAATTCTCCGAAGAATCCATCTGTTAAAGGAAGTTATAGAAAAGCTGTGTTAAAACACAATTCCAATACTGATTTACTTCTGAGTCAAATTGATGGATTTCGAAAGGGATTTCATCCATCTATAATCATTAATCACTATTCACTATTAGAATAATCATACACAAGGGGAAAGGTATAATTTACAGCAAGCCAAAAAAAAAAAAAAGAAAAAAAGAAAGAAAGAAAGAAAGACAGAAAAGAAACTGTTGTCGCAGCGGCTCTATATTTAATTTCCAGGAAAATTTGACAAAAGATAAAATTCAGCTAGCCAAGGAAGAATTAGAAGAGCCAATGATCCAAAGGGGAGAAGAGCCTACCAACAACTGCAGAGAATTAGCTTCCTAAAACATGGTATAAAAAAGAACTGTACTAATGCATCTAAACCCTCCAATAAATTATACCAATCTTATCCAACTAAAAACAATTCAGTTTCTAACCTATGAAATGGTAATTATTTTTCTAAACATATTTTAGAGATCACCACCAGATTTTGATTAGATTTCATTATCTCTTTACAATAGGCTTATCTTTAGAATTATATTTATTTTACTATAGTGTTTAAATTGTCATGTTAAGCCTAAAATAGGCTTTGTATTTAGGCAGAATGTAGAATGTTGGTGATTTAAAGAAATACACAATATTCTGATAGACCTCCCATCAAGAAGGTATACCAACATAGAGGGCACAAGGGTAAAAGGCCATTAACTGAATTGAAGAGGCATGCGTTAGTGGAGGATCGCTTGAGGCATGTGGCGTGTGAAGAACCAATTAGTTAGAAGAGAATAATTCTGTTAGCTGATTTATGTATAAAAGGGAGAGTCATTTGTTAAAAAGGCAGATTATTATCAATAGTGAATCAAGGTGGTCCCCAGCTCCTCAAACTGTTGAGACTATCTGTTACTCATTTTCATTTCATTGTAGTTTAGCACTACTCTGTAAACTGTCCTTTATTTCTTAATCAATATCAATTAGAATCAACCCAGTTTCATTGGATATAATTCTTGAGTTTGTCTGTGTCTTTTTGGTTTACTGTGTTACGTGGTTGTCCTGGGGTTCTATCAATTGGTATCAGAGCCTTGTGTGGGTAATGACTAAATCAAGAATGGAACAGAAGGTTGAGGGATTGGAGAAGGAAATGGGTAATATGGAGAAGGAGCTAGGAAGGATGAAGGAAGAGTTAGGAAGCATCAAGGGATATCTCCTTGAGCTGCGAGAATGGATGAGGTTGAAGGAGGAGAAGGAGGCCAATACTAGTCGTGATCGGGGCAAAACAAATCTGGGGGAGAGCTCAAATAGTGGTGACAATGGCGGAGTTGATCAGAGTAAAAAAACCGAGAGCTCTAAGGAGGAGAGGAAGAGTAAAAAATTAGAGTTACCAATGTTTAATGGGGAAGATCCCTATGGATGGACCTTCAAAGTAGATCGCTATTTCTTAGTCAATCGTTATGCAGAGGGAGAAAAAGTAGAAGCTGTTGCAGTTTGTATGGGGGGACGTGCACTAAATTGGCATCAGTGGGTTGAATCAAGGGCACCAATCAGTTCATGGGAAGCCTTTAAGGCTGTTGTGGTTGCAAGATTTTGTCCATCCTTCAAAGCCTCGGCATATGAAGCCTTAGTAGCATTAAAGCAAACTGGAATTTTGAAGAACATTCTGCTCCCTTGCGCGAGGTAGGGGAAGAATTGCTGATGGGTATTTTTCTTAATGGACTCAAAGAAGAGATCCAGGCCGAATTGTGTTTGGCCCAACCAACTACACTCTTTTCACTCATTGAACACCATAGAGTAGAGGAGAAGAATTGGGTCTTGGAGAAAAGTAGGCCCAAACCATTTAGAGCCCAAACTAATAAAATGGAGCACTACAACTGGGTCACTCCCAACCCAGAAACATGGTGCACAAACGTGTCGAGCCCCAACCCCTTTTCACGCAATTCAGACTTTACTCCAAACAGAATAGGTGAACGACGAGAGAGATCCATCGATACACCCATGCCAGGATTTCGCGGAGAGGGATTTCGGCGCATGACTGACACCGAGATTCAAAGCAAGAAGGAACGTGGGATATGCTTCAGATGCGACGAAAAGTACAGTCAAACTCATCGGTATAAAGCAAGGTCACTACAGATTTAGTTAGTCACCGATGATGACGCACCGTAAAAGGAGGAGCCCAACTCTAAAGCCGACGATGACGTCAACATGGCAAGTAACCCCTTGGCATTGTCAATGAACTCTATTGTAGGGATGACAATGGACAAAACTCTGAAGCTTAGGGGGTCGATTAGAGATGAGACAATAATTGTGTTGGTGGATAGTGGGGCATTCAACAATTTCATCCTAAAGGAATTAGTGCGGAAGCTAGGCCTGGACATTAAGAAGGGAAAACAATTTGGAATGATGGTAGGGAATGGTTTCACAGTCAGAGGAGAAGGGATTTGCAGAAATTTGAGTATAAGGATTTAGGAGGTTGAGTTGACACATGATTTTTTCCCCTTTGATTTAGGAGGAGCTGATGTGGTGTTGGGATATCTTGATTGAGCACGTTGGGAGATGTGTGCTGCAACTGGAAAAACCTGACCATGGCGTTCGACAACAACGGGAAGAAAATTGTGTTGCAAGGTGATCCCTCCTTAGTTAAGACTACAGTCTCTCTCAAAGCAATGCTCAAGACACTGCAGAGTGAGGAAGCAGGGTATGTGGTAGAATTTTGCTCTATCGAAAGGAGAGGAGAGAAGAAGATTGAACCTATGGAGCCTGAAGTTGCTACCCTACTTAAAGAGTTCCACCATTTGTTTGAACAACACCATTATTTACCCCCCAAGAGACCGACTGACCATGCCATAACTCTCCAAAATCAATCCAAACCCCTTAACCTACGTCCTTACAAATACTCCTATGCCCAAAAGAATGAGATAGAAAGGTTGGCGAGTGAGATGATGATGTCGAGAATAATCCAACCGAGTACTAGTCCTTTTGCAAGTCTAGTGTTGTTGGTTAAGAAGAAAGACAACAGCTGACGTTTTTGTGTTGATTACCGCCTTAACACCATAACCATACCCGATAAATTTCCCATACCTTTCATTGATGAGCTGCTAGATGAGTTGGCAGGTGCTGCAATATTTTCTAAACTGGAATTGAAATCCGGATATCACCAGATCAGAGTAAGGACAGAGGATGTGCCGAAAACCGTATTCCAGACTCATGAGGGGCACTACGAGTTCCTGGTCATGCCGTTCGGGTTGACTAATGCCCCCTCCACTTTCCGGGCCCTGATGAATACAATTTTTAGACCAGTTTTGAGGAAATTTGTACTGGTATTTTTTTACGACATCTTAATCTACAGCCTTGACCTAGAAGCTCACCTCAATCACCTGAGATATGCCTTCCAAATCCTGACTGAACATGAGCTTGTTGTCAACCACAAAAAGTGTCTATTTGCGCAGTTGAGGTTGGAGTACTTAGGACATCTGATCTCTTTGGAAGGTGTTGAGGCAGATCCCGCCAAAGTTAAGTCAATGTTATCATGGCCCGTTCCACAGACCATCAAAGGTCTAAGGGGTTTCTTGGAATTGACAGGGTATCACCGCAGATTCGTTAAGGATTATGGGTTGATAGCTCAACCGTTGACTAAACTGCTTCAGAAAGACGCCTTCGGATGGAATGAACAGGCTCAACAAGCCTTTGAAAAACTAAAAGCTGCCATGTCCTCAATCCTCGTGTTGGCTGTCCCCGATTTCAGTCTCCCATTTGAAGTTCACACCGACGCATCTGGCCAAGGGTTGGGAGCTATCTTAATTCAAAACCAACGTCCCATAGCTTTCCTCAGCAAAGCGTTTTCCCACCAGTCACGACAAAAGTCAGTATATGAAAGGGAATTGATGGCAATCGTGTTCGCAGTTCATAAATGGAGCCACTACCTCAGTGGACAAGCGCAGTTTGCAATTCTTGACAGATCAGAGGGTGAAGACTCCTGAACAACAAAAATGGATTTCTAAGCTTCTAGGTTACTCATTTGATATCATTTATCAATCTGGTAGCTCAAACCAAGTGGCTGATGCCCTATCCCGAAAAGAAGACACAGAGTTAGTTGCTGTATTGGTCGTTACTTTCTCAGAATTTGATGATATTGCGGTTAAGGCACAACAAGATGCGAAGCTCCGGACTGTCATCCAAGACCTGATGTTTGATCCCCAAAGCCACCTAAACTATAGTCTCCACCGTGGTGTCTTCTTTACAAACACAGGTTAGTGCTTCCAAAATCCTCTAAATTTATTCCTCGGTTGTTGGATGAATTCCACAGCAGTCCAACAGAAGGCCATTCTAGGTTTTTTAGAACATATAAACGAGTGACAAATCTAGTTTATTGGGAGGGCATTAAAAGGGATGTTCAGGCTTTTGTACAGCAGTGTTCAATTTGTCAATTGAATAAACAGTCAGCTCTTAAGCCAGCAGGACTTCCCAAGCCTTTACCCATTCCCACCTAGGTGTTTGACGACATTAGTATGGACTTTATAGGGGGGCTGCCCAAGGCCAAGGGACAGGACACGATATTGGTAGTTTTGGATTGGTTAACTATGTATAGTCACTTCCTTCCCTTATGCCACCCCTACACGGCCAAAGAAGTGGCTATTATGTTTGTTTCGGAGGTTATCAAACTGCATGGTTTCCCCAAGTCGATTGTGTCTGACAGAGACGAGTGTTCATCAGTCAGTTTTGGCAAGAATTGTTTAAGGCAACAGGTACCAAGCTGAAATTCAGTTCAGCGTATCATCCTTAAACCGACAGCCAAACGGAGGTAGTCAATCGTTGTTTAGAAGCCTATCTCCATTGTTTTTGTAGCAACCAACCTAAACACTGGCCAAGGTGGTTAGCATGGGCTGAATTTTGGTATAATTCTACCTATCACAATGCAACCAAGATGACACCCTTCAAAGCACTCTATGGCCGCAACCCACCCACTCTTCTATGCTTCACTGACTGCCCATCACTGGTTGAAGAGGTGAATCAGCAGATGGCTGATCGTAACTCCATCTTGGACATGCTGAAGCATAACCTGAGTGTTGCCTAGGCCCATATGAAATCCCAGGCGGATGCCTATCGTCGGGATGTTACTTTTCAGCTGGGAGACCAAGTGTTTTTAAAACTTCAGCCATACCGCTTCAAGTCCTTGGCTTCTAAACTCAATGAAAAGTTGAGCCCACATTTTTATGGACTATTTCCTATTTTGGAAAAAATTGGACAGGTTGCATACAAACTGGCGTTGCCTCCAACAGCCAAAATACATCCCCTTTTTCACGTATCCCAGCGTAAGCGTAGCCTGCACAGCTCGGTTCCCATCCAACCTCTACCCTCATGCCTCATCGAGGACATGGAGTTGCAGGTACAACCAGAATCTGTTTTGGCAGTCCGCACATTAGTGAATGGCTCTCAGGAAGTCCTCATTAAGTGGAAAGACTTAGCCTCATTTGAAGCCACCTGGAAGCTGACAGACATCATCAAGCTTCAATTCCCTTACTTCCACCTTGGGGACAAGGTGGCTCTTCATTGTAGTTGAGCACTGCTTTGTAAACTGTCCTTTATTTCTTAATCAATATCAATTAGAATCAACCCAGTTTTACATTGGATATAATTATTGAGTTTGTCTGTGTCTTTTTGGTTTATTGTGTTGCGAGGTTGAGTGGTTGTCCTGGGGTTCTATCATATTCTCAAAGCCAACACTTCCTGGTTTCTATCATTTTCTTGTAAATGTTCTTTCTTTTTCTGTGCTTCGTCTATTTCTACTTTTTTCTTCCTCTTGTCTTTCGTCTAGAAAGGGAGTAAATATGAACTACTTGGGAAAGAGTAACAGATGAGCCTTTCCACGTCTTTCCTCTTAGACCAACAAATTAGGCAAAGTCAGATTCATCATTCACGGCATTACCGTAGGTCTATTGGCATAAGTTTTATTATATGACTTAAGAGAGTTTGTTTAATGTGCTTTCCTTCTACTCGTACCTTGGCTGCCACTATTAGATTCGGCATTGAAGTTTCTCCTAAAATAACTTTTTTTTTTTTGTTTTCATTAGGAAACAATAAACTATGTATTAACGAGTAAAAGGAATTCAAAACGTGGACCCGGTGCACATAAAAGCAAGAGCAAAACAACCATGCAAGTATAAGAGCTCTACAGATGTGTTAATGTGAATCTTACTAAATTATCAGATAGACAGAGTATCTAGCACCCACTATAAAAATACCCTGAGAAGCAGCTAACTAATTAGCCCCTCCCAGATAACCTGTGAAAAGAAGGGAAGAATGATGAGATTCCTTGGAAACCATGGCCCATAGAGAAGCTAGAACTTATATCTTGTCCAATATATTATTGATTTTTCCATTCCTTTCCTTAAAAACCTCCATTTCTTTCTTACTAAATCACCTATAGTATATTGAACGCCTAAAAGTTCTAGAGGGTCTCAGCTTTCTTTCCTCTCCCAAAAGCAAAAACGTACTCCTTAAGCATATCTTTGTAGTTTCTAGGAGTAACCCAACCTATTCTAGCCTACTTACAAAGATTTCTTCCATAACACACTCCAAGAGGATGATAAATTCATGGAATCAAATATCAGTTTGCCAGAATTCACCAAGCACCATTTCCTCGTAAAGAAACATTCTGAGCCACTGCTAGGAGAAAGCTATCACATTCTACTAATTCTGAGACATCATGATGAATGAAATAAGCTCTTTATAAATGTTAGAAGGGGAAAAAAAAGTACCAGCCGTAGAACACTAAATGCAGCTTGACCTTGAGAGATATGTGTGTCGATCTCTCTCTGCATATCAAGGTCTGCAAAATAGTTTGATCAAAGCACTATGAAAATAACAGAAATTTATGTGGCAAAAGGTATAGATACAGAAAAAAATAATATCAAATATCCTACCAACAAATGATTAATTACGTCGCATCAGCAACACTTCTTGTAGTTTGAATTCAATCAGTGCACAAAGGAACTGGTGATAGATTCATGTTCTATAAAGAGCAGTCTGATGTTTTCAATTCAAAGATTTACATACCACCCATTTATTCTATGCTAAAATTTCTTTTTATTGAATTGTTCAAGATAGAGACCTACTAGGAAAACAACTGTATTATTCCCAACATTGACAAATATAAAATACTGAGTGTTATGGTAATAATTGTCCCACCAAAATTATTTGAGAAACACAAGAAATATCTGTTAAGTCATATATGACTACAACACAAGCCTGCATAATGGGATGTTCAAAGACTTGTCTAATGCAAAAATCGTAACATTTGACCATAGAAAAGACCAGTTAACTTTATTGAAATAAGAAATATAGTGAAGTGCCAAAAAAAATTATTTCCACTCTTCGTAAAACATAAAATTCGTATAAGAAAATAACATTGTGCTTGACGCTTGACTAAGAAAAGAATCCCATGGTTTACATGGAAATCTTAATATTGTTGATCTCTACACTAAGTTTGAGAATTTATAAGAATCTTAGGTCTAACAAATATTTAATATACACTTACCACAAGTTATTTTGTTCTGATCATTAGCAAAAAGCCTCACAATTTCCCCCTGATAATGTCAACCATTGTAATAAAAATAATCAGGAAAGTATTAAAGAATAAGAGCATCAAAAGATGGACACACTATATTCATTATAACTGTTGAATTATCCCAGACGTCTACTGTGGCCTATTAGAACAAAATAAATCTCAGCCAACCATCAGATCTTAAGGTTTTCTCAGTTCCATATGAAAATTAAAATCTGAACACCTGGGCATATATATATATGTCATCTAACAACATAGCACCTGAAAGCAGTTTATATAGAACCATCTACATCCTAATTAACTAAGAACTGAATTTTTTTTTTAAAAATGACCTTTGATTTGTAATTTGAAATAAATCTAATTGCAGGATTGCTAAGAACTAGTCTCATTTAAGAGGGCTATATTATCTCATACACTGCTGATTGCAATGGGAGAAGTTCTCTACATTACTATAAAAACCAACCTTTTATATCAGCTGACAACATTATGCATGGTTTTTAATACCCTGGAAAACATTTTAGCTATGATTTAAAAGACTCATGATTCCATATATATACCTGACGGCCTTGATCATCCATCGGTATGCATTCAACAGCAATCAGTTTATCAACATCATCAGCTGTGACAACATATTCTGGATTTGTGGCTCCTGAACCAATAATATACAATAAGATAGATAAATCAAAATAATCTACTAAGAAGCACAACAAAACAAAGTCAAAACTGATTTCAGTGCTTACCCTCAATGTACTGCCTCGTGCCATCCTGAAGATGACGAACCCACTAATACACAAATTATTAAAACAAAAAAGGTTATTATTCTGTTTATGTAGTACAAATGCTTCACATGACAATTTTTGCATGAGTTAACTTCAAAGAACTTCACCTGAAACATACACAGAGTCGTTCCCCGTACAGGATATCCACATCCAAGAAGTTTTTCTCCAGGTATGGCTTCACCAATAATTTGAAAGCCCTCAATTCCAGGACCCTCTGTATTGCAATGAGCATATTAGATTAAACCACAGGTGTAAAATTTGCTTCATAGACAAGCATCCATCACCTTCCGAAACAGAGGAAGCAATCTCATCATTTGCACTGTGGGGATGAAACAAGACATTATCTGCCATCTCTCCTGGACTCTTTTCCTGAACGACTTTATCTAATGTACTACTAGGAATAATGTTGACACCTTGTCTGTAAGATAATGATTCATAGATTGTTAAAAGGTGAACATTATCACATAGAAAAATCTTTACTAGGTAAAATAACTTTTCAGCTTACAAGAATGGATGTTTAGAAAAAACACAATGCATTATGTTATATGCATAAACGTCCTATGTTTCTAAAACAATAGCACAAATTATAAAGGAAGCATAGGTATTAGGAAATTAGTAAGGCCTACTCAGAACCTATAAGTACTTAGGGTGTGGCAACATAAAGATGTTTTTGAATAACTCAGCAATAAAATTTCACAAACAATGGCACCTGCTACAATTATCTATAAATTTATCCATATTAGAACTCCAAAATGATAAACTACATAATAATACAAAAAACCATTGAATCATCATAATAAAAGGAATGGCCCAGCCAATCAGACCTCTGAACCAGCAGCATTGCCAATCAGCCAGTCTAAAGTGATAATCTTTTGGTTACAACCTAGACTGATCAACTTATAACAGATGCCACAAGCAAAACAAACTTGAAGATTTTTCATTATCGATTAGGCACATTTGATCCACCATACCGACGTCCTTGCCTGGTCACCGTCCAGGCTGGACTAAAAGAACAATGACTAAACATGCTCACAACCATCAATCCCGATTATTTTAAGTACTATGGAGAAGACATTCCCCGTCGATAGAATACGAGTACGTTAACATCTTAACAATATTTCCAAAATTTATAGAGCCGTGTGGCAAGTTTAAGTTTTGAGTATCAACAAATTTTTAGAGGCTAATATTTATCATGTTATACCAAAGTATTGAACATCATTGTGCAATAGAATACCAAAGTATTTTTTTCATTTTGCTAGGAAATAAAGATACTCTATTAAAAAAAGAACTATACAAGAATGGACAAGTTGTCCACACAAAAGTATTGAATATCATCGTTTAATGAATACTATTATGCAATTGAATAAAAAGGTTTTAGATATCATTGTTTAATGTATCATTGTGAAATTGAAAGGTAGAACCAGGGTTGACCAAAGTTTGGCAATTTTTTTTAATGGTTATACAAGGCTATGAGAAAATTTTCACACTTTTGCTTATTCTTGCCATTGATAAAAATGAAATTCAAAGGGATTTTCATTTCTCTTATTCAAAGAGACTGGGCAACAATCATGTCTTAGTTTTCTTATTTAGCCTCAGTATTATTTCTAATTTCTAAATAGATCAGAATTTTAATTAAAGTCTAAAAAATCTGAATACATAGATCTAAATGATGTTTGTTTTTCTTTCTTAACATCTGAATATAAGAGTTAATTTTGTTTGTTTTCACTACGAAAAATATCTAAAAACAAATACTTTGACATATATACCTTTATAAATGTTAATTGTTATATATATTTGTATATTATATAACATTTAGAAATCAAGTATTTAACAGCTTAAAAAAAAAAAAAAAAAAACCAAATATTTGACAAAACTAAAAACAATTTTTTTTTGAATACTTAAAAGAAAGATAAACTATAATGTTAACTATTTTCAATTAAGAAGTTAGGAAAAAAATTATAATAATAACAATGTACTCTATTCTATTAAATATAAGGTCTAGAGTAGAATCATTAGTCACACACTGTTTAAATTAAATGAAGAATTTTATAAGCCACCCTTGAGGTTAATCAAATATGAAATGACAAAAAGATAATGACTTTGTACCACAAAATACCTTACAATGGTGGTTTATGGGATAAAAGATATTGCTCCAGGTGGTTTGTTACACAAAGTCAGCGTATGATATTAAGGCAAACCTCTGGAGTGGTTTGTCAAATCCTCTCAAAATTAAAACTAAAATCTATAGGTGACAAAAAATATAAACAAAAGCTGGACCATAGGATAAGTAGATAGATGTATTGAATGGGGTTATATTTGAGAAAGAAAATTGAATAACTTACATAGACTTAAATGTAAATATAAAACTTAGAATTTTTTACTTCTGTCAAAAAAAAATAATAATTAAAATAGAGCAGAATAAATTCTAAATGGGTCATATTCAATTACATTCAGACTTCAAATTGAATAACAAACAACCCCTTAGCCTTGATTAAGGAAGTTCTTATAGTGTACTTATATCTTTTACTTTTGTCTTCTATTTAGTGAACTTCTAATTCACATCTTCGAACGTTATTTTCTTTTAACAAAATCTTTTTTCTTACAATATTATTAAAAAAAAAAACCAACAGATCGACAACAGAATTATGATGAGACAAAAAAAATAAAACTGCAATATGAAACGAAATAAATAAAGCCAACCGGTTGGAATTATAGTTATTGAATGGCTGCTGCATCTGATTATTGAGCATCAACTTTTTGATTTCTGCAAGACCGTTGTCATTATAGTGTCTTGGCATATTGTCAGTTGATTCATTACGTATATTTGCGTAGGGATTATAAGGAGAAAAGCCATGCTGATCTTGCAACAAAGAAAGAAAAATTAACCAAAAAAAAAAAGAGTACATTATCAAAGGGATAGTATTGTGAAAATATCATGTAAAGAGATGCACTGATGTAAGGAAATCAATAGTACCATATCAAGTGATCCAGGTGCAACATGAGTTCCTGCAACTACTGTCAACTCTCTGGTTCTATCCTGTGACAAATACATCAATAACATACCACTGAATTAACAGTTAAATTATATTTCCATGTACAGATTGAACTACTCAAAAAAGTCAGACATCCATCTTGCAACAGCAAATCAAAAACCTCGGTACAACCAACAGTTAGGAGAAGAAAAGTTCATTACACATCATCATGCTGCAAAAACAATAGGGAAAAAAAGAAGAAATGCAAAAGAAAAACCTCATATGACTTACTGTAATTATAATTTTGATATAAGAATCAAAATTGTCATCTAACCAAGATTTATATATTGAAGTTTGCTTTCTAACAAGAAAGAAAAAAAAAAATATATATATATATAAGAAATTTATTACTCTTTAAAACTCCTCGAATCTTAACAAAGTACTTCCCTAAAACTTAAAACACGTTTAAAGCTTTAAGGAAATAAAAAATATTTGGTTAGAAATCTGACCAAATATTTCATGAAGTATATATATATCCCTGTGTGTGTGTGTTAATCTCTAAGTGCTTCATAGGCTATTATAGGTATGTTTATAGAGAACAACTGCATCATGAAAACTTTCTATGAGTGCAGCAGGTTATAAGAGAAAAAATTTATATTTGGAGTTGACTACACTATAGTTTCTTTTCTAAGGCCACAGGAAAATTAAGAAAAAAATCAAAAAGATTAGAGGATTAGTGAGACCAACGTCTGGATCATTACTTGTTTTAAGTTCAATTGATCGGTCTTTACTAGAGATTTAGGTTAGTTGTCTCTAACCTAAATGAAGCTGTAATTGTAGGGAATGATTATCCCCTTCATTAACCAGTCTCAAGCCATTAGGTGAGGAAATAAAGTTTAGGCCAAAGAGATTTTTTCTTCCTATTGGCTAGTATAGGTTCATACAAGATGTTTATAAGCCTAAATCATAGGTTAAATTTCTGGTCTTAAGCAGATTTGAATTGAATTTAAAAATAAGGTCAACAAGTTGAACTTGTAGAGTAGAAGTATTCCTCCTACCTTCATACCTTTCTCTTGTTTCCTTTAAAGTAAGGTGGTAATCAAATAGGGTTGATTTACAAGGATTGTGACATCCATAGTGATATAAGTGTGGTTGGAAGGAGGGTGGTAACATTATATGTCTTCTGGGTATGAGAATAGCTAAGAAAGAAACCCTTAAGAGAGGCCTTGGGTCCAACTTGGTTTGATTATGGACATGAATGTATACAATGAAGTGCATGCAAATATCTCTTGATGGAGATTCCTAAAGCCTTTGAAGTAAGAAATATCCTGATTAGACATTCCAACGGTATTTTAAAATCAGCAGCTAGAGAAGGCACACTATTTTTAAGATATGTTCCTGTGAGAACAACTCCCACTGGTAGTTATTTGGAATTTACATTTGGAAAAGCCATGATATCACAACTTCCAATATGCACCTATTTTCTCCCGGCTACCCTATTTTGTTGAGGTGTATCTATTAGAATAATAGTTAATCCTTTAATCCCTAGTTTTAGGAATATTCTCCTTTTGATTAAGATATATTCTCTCTCCTACACAGATTCCTCCTTAACTCATAATTTTCAATTAATGTGTGATTCCTTTTCCTTATTTATTATCATTTCTTTTTATCCTCAATTTAGATTATAAACATTGTAATGCTGTATAAGGGTTTTGCACAATGCTTAATTAGATTTTCATAATGTCACAACAGGTTAGAATTTGGTATACTCCAACTTAATTTAGTAGTCACTGTTTATTCTATCTCATTCTTGTCAATTTGAAACTTCTTCTCTATTATTTCACTTAACCAATCTTCTCTTTGAAATAATTTTAAACCATGGTAAGTGAAAAAATAGATTCTCTTTAGGATATTAATGTAAAACAAGTATGCGCAAACAGCAATACATGCAATCATATGATGTATTACAGCAAATAAAGGAGGCATGAAAGTTTGGTATAGCAAGCTTACATAAGAACTTCTAATCTTCCATTGCAATTGATCATGTAGGTGCTGCAAATGTTTAAGAAAAGGAAAGATAAATATAATTTGATAGCATTATATATCCAACTCAAAATTAGTATAGATGTTGCAAAATAAAATAATGAATGTGTTCCATGATAGATATCTCTATGAGTCCCCATTTGTCGCTACCAGCTTGCCTCTCATTTTCCCAAATACAGATATTATCCGATATTGTTTGATGTCTTGTTACTTATTTTCCTTATTTTTTTTCCTTTCTATTACTACTTTTGTATTCTAGACATATATGGCCCAAATGTGGAAAGAATAAGAAAGGAAAGAAATAAAAAGAAACATAAACCAGAAAGTAGAAGAGAAGGGAAAAAATTTGGGAGAGAGAGAAAGACTCTTGAATCATTGTTAAACTCTCTATAAATTAGTAGGATGGGCATTCTTCCACAAAGGCCTTGATATGCTTGTTGTTTAGGCCATCATACTTCAGATCCAACCAAATATATTTTCCTTCAAGTTCAAACCATATTATTGAGGAGCCTCGGTGCTCAAACTAATGAAAACACAAGCACATGCTCTAACAAACATAAATCACAAACCAAAAGGCACATCAACAAGTTAAATCAAAACTTTAATTTTGAGACAACTTGTTAGCACAAGAAGGCCCTTTTCAGGTTTTAGATACATTTAGGGCATCATTTGAATTGTTAGGCATGCAACACTCGTAAATGCACCCCTACTTGATAGGGCTGTTAAGAACACATTCCGAATTTAAGAGTACTAAACAGAAAAGGCAACATACTTCAACTTTAAAGAAATGAAAAATTATCCAAACAAGCAAAGTTGATTCATAAGTTTCTAATACTACTAGTAGAATCTAGAAAGAATTAAAGCCTTTTAAGAAGAGCCAACATCAGAAGTCTCATCCAAGTCATGTTCCTAGTAGAAAAAAAAAAAATTTTTTTGCTTATACACTAGGGTCATTTTCATTGAGAGACCCTTAACTATATGGTAAATACATTTAACCAGCATCCACTCAAAAAGTCTTCACAAACCACCTAACCAATAAGGCTCTTTTCCCTAAATCGTTCTTTGTAGTTAACTCTTGTGATTTTATAACAAAAGTAATAAGAATAATTAACCATACCTTGTGAAATAACCATTACTCAAAACCTTAGGATAATAATTTGGGATTCAATAATAAAAACTAACATACCCTTACATGTACAACATTGATCCAAACACACTGAAAAACAAAAACAAAAACAAAAAAACATCTTACAGTAATTTCAATAAAACAACAACTATTGACCATAAGATCTCTGACTCAAATTGTCATCGATACCAGGTTAAGTGACCACTAAAGTTAAAAGCTTAAAAATAGGTAATAACTTAACAATAGTAATATTCTTTAGCATACCTCAACGAAAAATCCAAATTAAATGTCTAAAACGGCAATGGAGCAATTTAACACAAACAAAAATCAACTTTATTGCATCCTTAAGCCTAGTTCCTCTATAATTATGTAAATAAAGTTGCCCTTTGTCTCCTCTAAGAGAACATAGAGAAACAATAGAATCAAAAAAGATAACTAACATCGCATAAAAAATAGTTAAGACATATTTTTGGAGACGAATAAGAAACATTGCCTATTCCTAATACACTTTCAAAAACCACAACAAGTATTCAAGATTCTACTCCAATATGTAGAAAATATTCCTTGACCAGTCAATGCTCAACAAAACATGTAAGCATCAAGAATGAACAATGTTACACAAAGGTCACTGCATTTAAATGGTAGCATAGCATACTACATAAAGAAATGGAGCTAACAACCCGAGGAAAAATAATGAAATCAGCCCCTGATTTGACCTTGGTGCTTTGCATTTTGTTTTTAAAAACAGGTATACAGATCATAGGTTAGCACATACATGAGGCGCAGAATTATATTTATAAAATTGTAGGACATGTTCAGGTAATACCTTTACAGTGTTGGATATAGAAGCGGCAGATGTTACATGAGGCCCAAGACCATATTCTGCCAAAAGTCCAAGCATTGATGACATGAAAACATATCTCTCATCCTCAGCAACCTGGAAAATAATGCCTTTCACAATTGTATAAGAGCATATTTTTATACATACATACAAAAGACGAGACAAAATGGTAGATCAGGAGCATTAAAAAACATATAAAACTGATACTATTCTAGGCAAAGTATCTCAAGACATCAGTGAAAAATAAAAATTAACTCAGAAACCAGTTCATCGGAAATTTTTACAAAAATGTATTAATATACTGACTGTGATGATCACTCAACAAAATTTTTACATCAGATATTTAATTTCAAACATGCAAGAAATCATCTAGCTCATGAGGAAGACATCAGAAGGTGTTTATATATAAACAAGTTTAACAAATTCATAATTCATGAAACCTAATTTGCAGCAGGGCAGAGAGCTCAGATAATTCTTCTAAGGTTGGCTTACATTTGCACTTTCTAGCCTAAAGATGAACCAGGATCCATTATTGACATACTGTAGGCTACACAAATATTATCATTGACATTTTCCATAGTTTTTCCATGTCTGGTTAAGCAGATAAATGGCTGAAGAATGAAATAACAACTTCATGAACACCAACTCTCGTATTAGCCCCCAGATACCCTCAACTTAGCAAACAGGTTTTAAAAATATAATAGGAAAAAAAATAAAAAAAACTTCATGTGAAAGCACACATAATGTTGACAAGTTAAGGTTACTTTATTTTTCAATTTTGTAATATATTGTGGGTATGCCTCAATTGCTCCACTACACATAATAAGAAAAAGCTTAAAACACAAAACCATAAGATCATTTTTATGCAATTTGTCAAATAAGAGGAAAAAAATTCTTTTGATAAGAATTAAGAGGACAATTTTATTAGATTTTATTTATTTATTTATTATAGTTAACAGGAAATACTACAATTACGAGAGAAGTCCAAAAATGAACCAGTGATCAAATAGGAAAACTGCCATATTCTGTACATAAAATGGGATATCTTTAGCCTTTAGACCCAATTTATGAGGCCAAAATATACAAATTGAGAAAGAACTGATTCTGTTTTGAAAGGAATAGGTTGTAAAGCCAATTGTTGTTGCATTCCCCCAACTTCCTTATCAAAGAGATATCTTCTCTTAGCGACTCAACAAAGAGAAAAAGCCAAAGCTAATGTAAATTGATTTACATATTGTCTGGTCATTCTGTTCAATCAATTTACCTCTGCCATTAAAAACATGAAGCTAGGGAACTGTCATGAGATATAACAGCAATAATTACCATGTGCACATTATATTTACAATATTCTAACTCTAACCATGAATTAACATCTTTGCTAAAACTTTTGAAGGTTTCATTTACAATGACCATTTGGAAGTACTAGGGAACTGTCATGAGATATAACAGCAATAATTACCATGTGCACATTATATTTACAATATTCTAACTCTAACCATGAATTAACATCTTTGCTAAAACTTTTGAAGGTTTCATTTACAATGACCATTTGTTGTTACTTCCAAACCTTGATTAAGTTGTTTGTTCTACGATGGTCTTACTCGTTTAAAGTTTACATAGCAAGCAAACATGCAATATTATCGCCAAAAGCATGAGGAGATATTGAACCTACTATTTACCTTTAGATCATGAACTAATTTTAAATTTTCTTCAAGATCTCCTTTCCTTAGTGCCAATTCATTCAAGGCTGAAGTAATAGCTTCATTCTTCCTTTCATCAATTGCCTATCACTCAAAACAATGCCACTTTAGACTCCACATCATGCAAATTAGGTTTATCAATCCAGGTTGACAACAATATAAGGAGAGATGCGAGAAAAAGTATATTATCTTTCAAGAGATAGACAAACCATCCTTAACTCTGAGAATTTCCTCTCCAATGTATACTTCTCGTTTAACAACTGCAACTCCTGAAAACACACAGAGAATACATTTCTTCTTATGTTAGAAATATGGAGGAGCATTGACCATACAATTATCAATATGCTTGCAACCAAAGGCGTATAGAGAAATGTTAAAACCTTCACACAGGCAATAGAAATTTGTTCACGGAGATTCTGGATCTCCTCTTTCTGTGTTGTAGCTCGCAAATAAAGTTCCTGCCCGCAAATTTTGTGTAAGTGATCAACAAGTTTCGTTATAACTTTATTAATGAAAATATTGCATGAAAAATGTGGGAGTACCAATACCATAGCCTCTTGATCTTGACGTAGAAAATAATTGAAATTGTCATTTTTCTGCTTCCTTTGAGCAAGATGCATTTCAAAACTATGCCTAATGAACAAAACATATAATTACTTCAAATCAATAGCAAAGCCACCCAATATCTAAACTTTCACATAAGTGCCATTTTAATATAAACATAAAATAAAAAATTTCATAAGCAAATCTTTCTGGTGAACCTTGTGGTATTACCTTTTCACAAAATCATAGCCTTCATTCTGAACCCCATCATTGTTGGAATTCTTGCTAGAAGACATTGCAATGGCAGTTGAAGAACCTTTTCAAGACAAATTCTAATTGCACGACAGCTAATGTCCATTATCACTAATGAAATCTTGCAATTGACCTCATTTTAATCTTCTGTTCCATATTCCACTTGGAAATATCATTTGATGAGTACGAAGAGAAATTGCATAATCAAAGGTGAAGCCAGAATTATTATTTTGAAAACGTGTTTACATAATTAAACCAAACTACAGAGCATGCATCACTAAGAAAGTATAGATCATACGAAAGTAGAAAATGCCTCTAAGAAACGATGCTCTTAATAATTTTCAAGCCAGTATCTTTCAGGAATTAAAAAACTGAACAAATAAGCAGAGCCCTACAATCATATTGCAATATCATATGAATTTAGAAATTAGAAGGGAGCCTAAATTTTTATTCAATGAGTCTATGCCCACACATACTCAGCAGTAAAATTCCTTATCTCTCAATCTTTCAAAAGTTAAACATGGTATTCAACTTTTAGGCTACCCAAGTCAAATAATTTAGGTTTTCCATCAAGTAACACTTGAAACCAAAGTCGGAATCAATTAGCTTAGGCATAAATGCATTTCAGTACTTACTTGTCTTCAATTTGTGCAATCTGCAAGTTCCCGCTTATTAACCACAAACTGTAAGAAGAAATTTGAAACACTCAGTATCCTGTTAATGGAAAAATATTTCTTAATGAGGACAGTAAGAAGACCAGTTACTAATAAAAGCGCACAAAAATTTTCAAACATGATGAAACTGATGCATTTATAACTGTAATCAGAGAATGAAGATTGTTATCTTCTGGAAATGAATATAAATTTACCTGGATTTTTTATGATGCCCAAATCTAAAAGCTAACAGATCCACGAGGACGAGGAAGGGAGAGAGTCCGTTCAGAAAGTCAAGTGTTTGGTCGTTGGGGCTGCTATAAGAATCATATNTATACAATTCAATAGTTAGGTCAGTAAGGTTAATTTATTTGGTGCATTCGGCACGCTACCATAGGATTTGCTTCCTTAGCATCTGAACCACTTTAAAACTCCTTCCTCACTGCATTTATTTTCATTTTTCCAAACCATTCACGTGTGTCTTTTGGGGCCAACTCAACATTTCACACGTGCGTTTCGTTGGTGTAAAAATCACCATCAACAGTTTGACGCTAGAAGGAGGGCCGATTTAGTGTTCATCCTTCATCAGGAGAATCTCCAACCTATCGGTCCTACAGCAACAAATGGCCCGCCAACCAAAACCTGAGCAAACCAACCAAGGCGTTAAGGGGCTCCCCCAAGTTCAAGGGGACACCCTCTTCTAGAAAACCTTCAGCCCTGCAAAATGCTGCAAGAGATATCTCGTCAAGTTCACAGCTTAACCCTGTTATTAGAAGCTACCTGGAGAGGTTTGACAATACCCTCTAGACGGTCAACCGAAGGCTGGACCGTTTGGACCAAGGTGTTGGATAGGTGCCCTAGAGCCAGTCAATTATTGTGGAATTGACTATTTGTAATAATGTTCATTAATCAATAAAAAGGCATTCTATTCTATATCGCGTAAATCATTATTATTGCAGTATGTATTGATATATGTCCTTAGAATGGTAGAACCGTGACGAGGGTATCAAGTGTTTCAAATCTTGATAGTGAGAACCCTATGAGCACATATGGTGGCCATTCTAGAAACGTCCGTAGCCCCAGTATAACAAAGGCAAAGATCATGAATTACTTCTCAATCTCATCATGAACCATCCTTCAATTGTATGGTGGCCAATCATGCAAAAGATGCATAAACATATAAATAAACACTTAATCAAAGAAATTAGAACACAAGAGTATATTAAATCATATAATTGAGTAATAGTATCAAGGCTAACTCAAAACCTTAGATAAACAATTACTTCCTCATAGACATGAAAAAAACTATACAAAAAAACAAATTGAGTTCACATGGAAACAAAAGAAAGGATGAGAAATTCTCTCTTAAGATGTTGAATCTTTGCTCCTTCTTCTTCTCTTCACGTTTCCTTGCTCCAAGTGAGTGAACTCCCTCAAATTCCTTTTTGTCCTTATTAGTGTTTCTTTTTGTGGTTGAAAAACCGCAGTCCAAACAATATGTTGTTTCATTTTTTTTCCCTAAAAAGTGCATTTGCGTCAGCAAGGATTTTTTTGCCGTGGCGAAAGTCAAAATTACAAACCCCAAATTCCAACCATGGTGAAAGCATGCTTTCTTATTCTTCTTTCAAAATGCCCTTTCTTGACTTAATCACTTGAATCTTCATTTCTTTAGTCTTCTATTAATAAAAAAAAAAAAAAAAAAAAAAAATCTATAAGAACACTTCCTTCATCTCAGAATTCTCAATTTCAATTTCTGGATCATTTCTAAATTGAAAAGCCAAATCATTATTTTTACTCAAGAACCCTTCGGGATGCAAAGTGAACAAAACAAGGAATTACTATTCAATTAGCTCAAAATGAATAAAAGTACTCTAAATCCTATGAAATATATATGATGCTAAAACACTATGAAACGTAGGATTATCATAGACCATCTGCCACGGGCTATACAATGGTGTATATGGGGTTTTATTCCAAGATTATCTGAAGTGGCTTTAGATATTGTGTCTAGCATTGAAGATTGTGAATTTGGTGGGGTGTATTCAGTACAAAGCAAGAGATAAAAGATAAATTGGCCAGCTTGGATTACGACATAACTTTGACTATAAGGTGTCTTGGTCCACCAGGGACTGATTAAGGTCGTATGCAAGGATTCTAGCAACTACAAATGATGAGTTCGAGCAATGAGGATGATACATAAATTAAATTTAAAGTAAAACAATTCGTATCTATGCGTACTTATGCTAGACAGCAACTCTCCATAACAATAGTAATGTTTTGCTAGAGTTGTGACACTAAATTCATCATTAAGTTTCAAAGAGTCGATCAAAACTATGGTTTGAGGCCTTCCAAGATGATGTCTGTGAAGGCTTGAAGATTAGTATATCGTATAAAAACATGGAAAGCTAAAGAGTATGCCGTCAATCTTCTTAAGGGAACACATGAAGACTATTCGCCAAGCTACCATCATATGTCACATGCTTGAGGGTAATAATCCTAAGACAGTCACAAATGTGGTTGTTGATAGATTATCGTTTAAGATTCTTTATGGCTATGGATGCTGGAATTAGAGGGTTTCAATACATAAGACTTGTAACTGTCATAGTGCTACACATCTTAAAGCAAAGTATTTAGGTTGCTGTTGTGGTAACTGTAAAGATGGAAACGAGCAGATTTTCCCTTTAGTTTTCATGGTTGGTGATGGTAAATCTAAGGAATCTTGGATTGATTTTGGCAAAGCTGAAAGGTGCCATTGGAGAAGTTGAAGAACTTATTAATGTGTCATACAGACACTCAACCATTGATAAAGTAGTCACTAATGTGGTTCCCTACATGTACATGTTTCGTGTATCCACTAGATATCCATGAACATGCGGGATAAATAGAAGAGACAAGAAGCGATGTTTAAGTCGTACTTTAAGGCAGCCAAGTACAATATAGCGTTGCATCATCCAAAACCTATTTCATAAGATTAGGGCTCTAAATCTGGAGCGCACGCAATATTTAGAATAAGATAATAGAAATTGTATGCCTGGGAACATAGGGCTGACATGGTGCCCAGTTAAGTGCGCAAGGTCAGACCTCAGAAAGAGCCTACTGTCATTCTGACGCAGCGCTTCGTGGGATCATGGTGGCACCCACAGCTTGCTTCCGTCAGAGTAATGGGTGCACGTTAGGCAAAGGAGTTGTGATGATCCTGTGTCCAACCCCTGCAGCAAATCACGTGAATTACTTAAACGAAAGATTTACACGGATCATCCCACCAACTTGCAGATTCAGTGATCATTACCTCAAGGCATCTCACTATAAAATGGAGTCCTATCTCATTAAGGGGATTCACACTTTTACTCTTGAAAAAAACTCTCTCTCTCTCTCTAGAATGACAGTCTTTGATACCTTGTATCATTAGTGTAAAGTCAGTCGTCTAAAGCGACCTAACCCTTATCATAATAAAAACATCAGTGGACGTAGGATGATAAGAGTGTAATTTATATATTTTTATTCCTTCCATATTATGTTTTTGTCATGTTTTATGCCTATTTGAGTATTGAGTTTATTTGTGAGTTTGGCATAGTTGGATAGACTTTAGGAAATAATTGAGAAAAGATTAGGAAATTTCAGATTTTCCAGATTTTTCGTTATTCTGACCAGTGCTGCATTTTTCAGGTTTTTCATGGAGGCCGACTTCTCTATTGCAAAAGTCCTCAGAAGAAGTAAAGTTGACAAATAAAGCTTTCCAGGAAGGTATTATGGGCGAAAATCCGAGTTCGTTTGGGTTTCAGTAGTCATTACAAAACCGGACCGGAATCTAGTCGCGGTAGGATTTCCTGGCTGAGCATTGAATCTCGAACGGGCCTAACTGGAGCATCAGATATCGAAAGCGGGTGATTCAAAAGCCAAGTTCATCTACACATCTGGGATTACAATGTTTATGAAGTGACTGAGCCCAGAAAAGATCTTTTACATTGCGAGAATCCTCGTGCAAGCTGGAGACAAATTTGGAATCCATATCTGATAAGATTTGTCAAATCTGGAAGTCTATCTTTTAGGAAACGTCTAGGAAAGATTTTCCGTGATTCCTGGGGTAGAATAGGAGAAAAAAAGTTTTATTCATGGGTTATTAGGTTTAACGGGGAGAACAGCAGTAGAGTATTTTTCTAAGTTTTTATCTTCTACGTAAGAGTGAGGGATTTTTTCTTCTTCAGTTCAAGGGGATTTTGAAGCCTAATTTCATGTCATTGGTGTAGCCTAACTTCAGTAACATGTGTCTTAATCTCGTTTTTATTGGAATTGTTTGTGTTATGTTTTAATTGTTTATAAATTTCTGTTTGGGTGATTTAGTAATGACCTGCTGAATTATTTCATCGGAATTTTATCTGTAGAATTAGGAATTGTGATCTGTAATTGTCCTTTTTCTATCAATGAGTGACACATGATGATAGCTGATTATGGACAAGTTTTCGGTCTATTGTCTTGATAACATAACCTAAGTTAATAATCCGAGCTTGCGTGATGTTGCTTAGATTGATCTATTCTCCTAATTTAAGGCTGCCATTGAATTAAATTTAGAGAGCTTGTTCTAGGTTGTTCAAGGGTTAGTATCTACTCGAAGAGCTTGTTTCGGTAGTGACAAACTAAGGGAGAATTCGGGTACAAGAGCTTGTTGTTTCTTAGGGTCAGTAGTTTCATAATGATGAGATAGAACAGTGTTACGGTTACTTTATGTCCAATGCATGTTTAGGTGGATTTTGAACGAGAGCGATTGTTTAACCCGATATTTTATTCTATTTTACTTTTGTTTGCCTTGATTACAAACCCCCTTTCATTACTGTTGTCAGGTTTTGTTTAGAGTTTATTTGCATTTCTGTTGTTTTTATTGTTTTAGAATATAGAAATTAATCGAGTCATTCCCTGTGGGATCGACCCTTGCTTGACCTTATATTCATAGAATGACTCCTCCAACAGTTCAACGAAAGCAGGCAAGCAGCAACAGAATAAATGAATACATTATTCGCATCGATTGACGGAGCAGACAGAGTGAGAGACTAAAGGTGATGGAGCCGAAGCAGGCAAGCAGCAAGAGAACAAGAGCAAGAGCAAGTCACATGAAAGCAAGAGGCGTCGCCCGTTGAGAGACTTGAGAGACAAAGGAGACACAGTGAGAGTGACAACAACAGCTTGAGAGTTTTGCAAGCAAGAGGCGTTGAGAGTGAGAGACTTGAGTTGAGATGAGAGTTTGAGAACGAATTTTGGGATTTTGGTTTTTAGGGCATTACATTTTACCCTTTTTACAGCTAACTAGTTTTTTAAACCAGTTTCGATTAACCGATTT